CCCGAGCTGAGTGCACAGCAGCAGTCAAGCCAGGCAGCCAAATGAGAATGAGGCTGGGCCCAAGAGTATACACACACTTGAGACAAAAACACTGTTTGTGGTTTTTAAATAGGTATTTAATTCACACAGAGATTAAGAATAGTCATTCAGTCCATATGTCAGTATCCAGTATATCTATCCAGTTACCTAGTCTTTTAAACAGTAAATATAATGTCTTTATCTGCTTGTTAATCTTCTTCTTCTGATACCTTTCTCTCAAAGACAATGCTGAATCCACAGCTCACCAAGCAAACAGTCCTTGTGTTCAGTAGAGAGAGGTATCTTGCACAGTAGACATCTCATATAGTAGGCAGACAGACAGCAGACAGACCAGAGACCAGTAACACCAGGAACTCGAAACCAGGATCAGAAACCAGGGACTCGAAACCAGGATCAGAAACCAGGAAGTGTTACGTGTCTCTCACTGCCTCTTATTGCAGCTTACAACCACACCCATAATTATGCAATGACATTGCAGTTTTGGAGCTTAAAGCTGCAAACACTTAAAACTAGGTTTTATATATTCATTCACCCAAACCAGTTGGTGTATTCATATACCCAACAACCTCACCCCTTTCCTAAGAGGTCTGTAGGGGGCGTGCATAAGCGCACCAACGTGCCTACCGTCCCTGTCCTATTGTTTCTTTTATTTTTCTTTTATTTTTCTTATATGTACCCATTTCATGTATTCATAACTATGTATACACTTATACTTATTATCTTGTAAACAATTGACAAATAAATAAAATAAATAAATAAAATAAATAAATAAATAAAATAAAATAGTACCAGGGTGGGGGGAGTATCTGCCTGGGCAATTAGGGGCAGCATACTTAAGTCACCCAATAAAAGACGACCAAAAATCCTTGGTAATCTTGCCTCTGAACACAATCAAATTTAGCTGTTCATAAAATTTTGGCCCAACCCTAACCTGAACACACCAACTATGAATTTGGTTATGCCACATTTATTCAATAAACATTTCAAATGAAAAAAAATTAAAGGAACAAATTTTAGCAATCCTTTCGATCTAGAAGACTAGATAGCCCACAACCCATTTGTTCATTGTTTCAGAGATATTTTCTCATTCGATTCTCCAATGTCTTCAAAAATGGCAAGGCTCCTTCTGTGTTAAGTTCACATCCTCAACAAATTTATTTTTATCATCACCATTCCTAATATATAATGAACAACCAAGGAAGTGTCACTCCTTTTTATCTTAAATCTCACTAGAACTAACCATTTGTTTCTGAATACATCTCACAATGCATTTATATTCATGCAAAACTGTGTCTTAATCAAGCCTATTTACTTAGTCTCACTTTCTTTAAAACAACAGACAATAAACTTTCTCACATTGATATGTTTCTCAATGACCTGCTGAAGAATAAAAGTCTGGTCAGCATATCTGTTGTCCAACACTTTCTAAATAGAGCTAATGTCACCTCATCTGTCCTTCTCATCAGAATTCAACCAAACACTTTTCCTGGCACACTTAAACAGATTAATTTCCCTATCATTTTTGCATTTTCTTTGGCTATTTTTTCCCCTGATATTAACAATAACAGTTTTCTTCCAATCATCAGACAGTTACAGTTTTAATGCTAGTGTTAAACAAGTCCATAACCTTTCCATGTGCAAGATCTATCCATATTTAAAATTTCCTCAGTTACGATATTTTTGTCCCATCTGTCTTTCATGCCTAAGTGGAACTAGAACTCACAGTCCCGTGGTTTCTAAGCCAGCATCTTCTCCATTTCAGCAAACTGACTCTTTTAGATAGTTAATGCTGTCTATACTTACATCCTGACCATTTTTCAACCTTTTCACAGTATTTATGGCTTGCTTTTCATCATTTCCACTGTTTTATATATCACTATTATTCCCATAAAGAGATCTAAAATATTCTTCCAACAGTTTCTCCATCCCAAATGACTCTGGTTTCTCTTCAGATCGTATACATCTTTTACCAAATGATTTCATCGTTTTTATTTTTAATATCATTCTCTTTGCTGGAGATTCCTTTACTCTTCTTCCTTCACTTCTAAAAAATGTTATATATCTATCAAAATTGTTCTGCACATTCTCTACCTCTTTTCATTTTTATATTTTCTTCTTCACTCTGAGTACATTCTTTGCAACTATCTTCTTCTTTAAGAACAAAACCTTTCATCCTTTTTTGCAATCATTTTTAATATGTCTGTTTTCTTATCCTCAAGTCTTTTCACATAATTATTTCATAAAACAACTTTTTTCCATACCTTGCATTAATATATATTCACACTATTCTGTGTCATTCTGTAGTATAATTCTTTGCATTCTACTTCAAAGTGTTTCCCCATTGTGTTTTCTTATTTCTACTTTCCATTTGAGATTAATCAGTTTCTTAATTCTCTTTCCATAGAGGAATATTCTTTCTCTTCCTGTAATTATTCTTCTTTTATTTTAGTTCCTTTCCCTCAATTTATTTAATTTCCTTCTCACTTCTATTTCCAAGATCCACTGTTGACATTACCCATTGATCCTTCACTCATTTTTTAACTTTGTAATCATAATCAAATCAAAGGCATTCCTTTGTCATGTATAAGATGAATATATTTGTGCTAAACCATGAACTTTAAACTAACAAACAGAATTTCTGAGAGGATACTCACTAATCACCACATTTATTTATTATTGAATCTCCAAATGATATAATAGTTCTTCTGTACTCTTTCTCATCCCCACCCATCAGTGGTGGAATTCAGAAATCTTTACTACTGTTTCTGTGGGCATGGCTTGATGGGCGTGGCAGGGGAAGGATACTATAAAATCTCCATTCCCACCCCACCCCACCTCTTTTCCAGCTCCATTATCTTGTTCAGGGCCACAAAAGAAGACCCAGCCAATCAGCTAGGACTTGGGAGGCAAGGAATAGATGGGGGTAGGGCCAGTCAGAGGTAGTATTTGCTGGTGCTCCAAACTACTCAAAATTTCCACTACCGATTCTCCAGAACTGGTCAGAACCTGCTGAATACCACCTCTGCCACCCATCCATTCAGGTGTCAGGCACATGGAACCAAGAATGTCACGAGGAGCTCCTCCAGAGTTGTTTCTTTGTTATTGTTTGCCTATGGAGAGGAATCTTGCTAAAGTAAAGCAAAAGTTTGCGTAACTATTAGATGTACCCTCTCAGAAAGCTTAGGAAGGGTATGACTTGGCTCTTTTCCTAAGTACCAAAGATTCCAAGCTGAGTTGTTTCTGACCTCTTCTCTCGTGTGACTCTGAACACCAAAAAAGTCCACACCAAATCATGTAGTTCTTTTTTTTAAAACACTTTCTCCTCACTCAGAATGTTGCATATACTCCTCCCCCCAACATCTGGTTCTTCCATCATCACCTGGAATACAACATGCAACATAGCAACTTATGTATTTGCATTTCCATATACATTCACAACTACTGAGACACACCTCTTCATATTTTCAGACATATTTTTTTTTTGCTCTGTCATTCAGAATTAAGCTTATCTCATCACTTCTTTGCTTCTATTCATCAGTCCCAATCCATGACCACCTTTGTTCAGATAACTTACATTCTTCCTTTTTTCCTTACTTTCCTAGATACTCAAGGTACCTAATATTTATTCCCTTTGTTCATTCATACTCTTTACCATTTACCATGGAAAATAAAGTAGGAACGAAACAGAATTAGAAACCTGTGATGCTTGAACTGACAGATATAGCATTCCTTGGTGTTATTTTTATTTATTTTATTATTATTATTAAGTTTATATGCTACCCATCTCCCTGATAAAGCAACTCTGGGCAGATATTGTTATGATTTTTATTATTTATTAACATCTTTAAGTTCAAAGTGACTCTGAACTTTGTAGAAGTTTTAATTCAGCAACAAATAGACATTACTTTTT